TGAGGAGCTCGGTTCTTTGCCTCTGTTGTGGGCGAGTGTCCGTGAACCGGCTGAGACGCCCTTGGCGAATGAGGGTCTCGACCTGATCCTTGAGGTTAATGTAGTCATTAGTGTTGTGGCCGTGATCCTGGTGGAAACGACAATATTTGGACTGGTCTTTTCGTTGGAAGGGGTTCGTGAGGGCAGGGGCCATTTGAGGGGGTAATCCCGTTGGATCTAGTGGAGGACTTGTTGCATGGGAGAATTAAGGAGCGTGTACCGCTCGAACCGACCGGGAGGTCGGGCTGGTGCCGACCTTTCAGCGCGAGGAGGTCGATCGGTGTATTGGGGTGTTTGGCTGTTATACTGGGTGTTTCTGGGTTCCGAGTCTTTTCTCTTTTCTCTGGGGGTCGGGTTTTTGGATATTGGATCCTGCCGAGCGGCTAGTGAATTTTCGGCATTCATATACTTCTGGGCCTTGGATAATAGGGTTGCCATGGAGGTCGGGGGGTTTGGAGAGGGAAAAAAGGAAATCGACGATCGTAGCCCGGCCATGAAAGCCGTAAGGATGACCTTATCGTCATTCTCCGCTACTTGTAGGGCTTCGGTGTTGAAGCGAGTAACGAAGCTACGTAGCGACTCCCCCTCGGTCTGACGGATATTGAGGAGTTGGGTTGTAGGGTGGCGTTGGCGCTGGGCTCCGATGAAATGGCTGAGGAAGGAGTCGCTGAGATGCTGGAAAGTGGAGACAAAGTCCGCTGGTAACTGACTGAACCACAGTCAAGCTGACCCCTTCAGTGTCACGGGGAAAGCCCGACACATGATCTTGTCAGGGAAGGCATGGAGGATCATGAGGGTACCAGATGGTCGACTGGGTCCGTCGTACCGTCAAAGGAGTCAATGGTGGGCATCTTGAACTTGGCGGGCAAGGGTTTGTCCCGGATGGAGGTAACAAATGGTGAATTTTCCATGGTAGAGGGTTTGTACTGAATATTCTGCATGACCCCTTGGAGTTGGAGCTTCATTGCACGGAGCTCAGCGTCCCAGAGGGGAACGTGGTCACCATGGTCAGTCAATGGAGGCTGGACGCTGCTAGCCTCCCCTTCAGGGGCTGGTGCTACGACCAACGGGTGTAGGGGTGGTGGTGGATTTATATGTGGGTGGGGAGCTGGCAAACCTTCCAAGTTGGGTGGATGGAGTTGTGGAGCAGTATGGCTCGGGGCTCTTTCTTGGTTGGAAAGAATATCAGGAGGTGGGGGAGGAGGCACTTTGGAGTAAAGCATTTATCAAGGCTTGGTTTTGCTCGGCCATGCGGGTAATGCTGTTGGTAAGCTCGATAAAATACTGTGGTGGGTTGTTTAGATTGGGGGGGTCGGCTTGATGGTCGGCGGCATTATTGTGAGAAGCCATAGATCTAGTCGTGACCATGCACTTTGACGGGTAAGAGAAAAAGGTTGTTGGAACGGGGCCTCCGGCGACAGTGAACACAACTGGCGCGATGAGCAAAGTGTTCCCACAGACGGCGCCAACTGTTGATACAGTTTATCCCCGGTGAATGGAGTAAACTGGTCCAAGCTCCTCAAGCCCAGGTCCAAATGATCGAGCCCACCGGATACCCTGCAAACAATTTCAATGGGGAACGGGGTAGTCCCCCAGTGAACCCTCCGACGATCAAGTTAGGAAGAGAAATAAAGCATATGGGAGAAGATTAGAGATAGAAAGCTTAACCTTTTTCTTGTCTACAACGTTCGCTTATATCCTTTGGCAATCATTTCGCTGTCTCTTCTGACCTGCTCTCCTTGCCGAAAGCCTATGCTGTAGCTTACCTTGCTCAGGGTAAGGGGGTCCTGTTCCGGCAGAGAGGTGTTGTCGTAATAAATGCTGTGATGGGCTACATTAATGGTGATGTGCAATGGCAATAACTTTACAGATCTTTGTCTGTTGATGTGGCTCGTCCTTTACCCGCCACGTGCCTGAATGTCGTTGGTTCTTAATGCCATATTGGATTCCAGCTGTTCTGGACTTCATCGGCTGGGTTATGCATTGGGCCCCGAATGATGGGCTTGGGTTGCTTATAGTGGTTCATGACCTCTGTGGGCCTGTCCATATCACTATTGATATGATAGATATAGATATCCTGAATGGTTATCTAAATAAGTTTTGAATTCAAATTCAAACTTATATGAATAAGGTTCAAAGGGTTCAGATTCAAAGAGTCATGTCACATGGGCGCCCAATTTCTAATAGAAATGGATAACATTTTCACATCTAATTAGAGAGCAGTTTGATTAGGTACAATCACCTATATGTATACCTCTGTGATTCAATTGTTCATCTTATAAAGTTCACTAAACATATCCCCTATGCAAAAATTAAGTAAATTAAATATTAATAATTTACTTGATTAAATTATATTTATCTTTAAAAAATAACTAATGTTATTCAATTACTTATTTTTTTACCTCTAATTATCTTATAAATAAAATGGACGTCTTCATTCTATTATCAACAGCAATATTTATGATCCAATAAAAATATGTGATATGTCGATCATATTGATAAGTACTTTCATTTTTAACCCTCATAAAATATATAGAGTTTATTTGGGATGTGCGAGCTTTTTAACTTTTTGGCTATTATTCTGGAATTACAAACTCTCGTTTGAGATAAGTTTTTGGATGAATTATATTAATAGTCTCTATAGTTTAGGACTTATTTCACTTTATTCCCTGACTTTTCAATTGTAACACATTTGACCTTAAATTTTGAATCTTGTTCCAAATAAGGACAATTGAAGATATCATTAGATTTTTCGAGGGTAAAATCGTCAATTTGATAAAATATAAACTAATTTGACAAAAATAATTATCAAACAAATATTTTTTAATTTTTAAAAATTATTTCTACCCACTAAAAATAAAATTATGTAAAATTGATAAATCTTTTAGACATTTATTTATTTTTTTACCAAATTAATTTTTATTATGTGTTTGGATGATGATCATGTAAAATTAATTTTAAAAAATTAATCATGTAATTTTTATTAATTTTTATCAATTTTACATAATTTTATCATTGGTGAATAAAAATAATTTTTAAAAAATTAAAAATATTTTTTTGACATTTATTTTTTGTCAAATTAGCTTATATTTTATTAAAATTGACAATTTTGCCCTTAAAATTAAACAATGGTATCTTTAATTGTCCTTATTTGGAACAACATTCAAAATTCAAGATCAAATGTGTCACAATTGAAAAGTCAGGAACTAAAGTGAAACGAGTCTCAAACTATAGGGACTATTTGTGTAATTTTTCCTAAATTTTTTTTATTTTTTATGACTTTTATAAAAATAAAAATAATAATTATGAATTAAATGTTACATTTTATTTTATTTAACTAAAACAACGTATTTTATTTTATACGGCTATTTTCGCCCTCACTCTTCATCCCAAAGGAGCTAATAATTTGTGGAGGGGGAGGTCGTAATCTGTGGACAAAGAGACGATGAGATACCATACAAAAGCAACAATGGTCGATCAAAATTAACACGTCACCACCGGACAAGTTTGATAACGTAATAGTAAAAAATGATACATGTAATCTCTGAAATGTCAGCCCCATAATCATCACCACCATTTAAACTACCTCCGTTTAAGTAGTGGGTTAAGTTTTTAATTTTTAAATTATTTTAGTTTAGAATTAAAAATTTTAATTTGAAATTTTTTGTTTTTTTATTTTTTGATGAGGTGTCTTCTTCATAGTAAATGACCAAACTGCCCTTGAAGTGATTCTTTCATGTCAACTCCTTGCCTTACATCCTCCACGTCAACATCATTGGAGTTGAATTTTGTATTTTTGTTTTTTTTTTGGGATTAGGCCTATTTTTATGGTTTTTTTTTTGTTTTTTTTTTTTCAAAAACAAATTTTCATGTGTTTTATTTATTTGTAAATTACGTGGCAAATGCTAATTTCTGTTTTTATGTTTTTAATTTTTATTTTTTTGGATGAGGCGTATTTTTGTGATTCTTTTTTTTTAATTTACGGTTTTGTCATTTTTTTTCCTTTACATTAATTTGTTTTTATTTTTCAAAAATAGGTTTTCATGTGTTTTATTTATTTGTAAATTACGTGGCAAATGTTAATTTCTGGTTTTGTGTTTTTATTTTTAATTTTTTTCGATGAGGCGTATTTTTGTGGTTCTGTTTTTTAAATTTACGTTTTTATCATTTTTTTATTTCTATACATTAATTTGTTTTTTACTTTTCAAAAATGAGTTTTCATGTGTTTTATTTATTTGTAAATTACGTGAAAAATGAAAATTTCTGTTTTATGTTTTTATTTTTTATTTTTTTGGATGAGCCGTATTTTTGTGGTTCTTTTTTTTAAATTTACAAAATTGTCATTTTTTATTATTTCTACACATTAATTTGTTTTTGTTTTTGAAAAATAGGTTTTCATATGTTTTATTTTTTTCCAAATTACGTGGCAAATGCTAATTTCTGTTTGGAATTTTTTTTTATGAGTCTTATTTTTGTGGTCTTTTTGTTTTCATTTACGCTTTTGTCAATTTTTTTTATTTGTATACATTAATTTGTTTTTAGGCTTCGAAAATGGTTTTTCATGTGTTTTCATTATTTTGAAATTATGTGGCAACTGCTAATTTATGTTTTTAATTTTTAATTTTTTTACTTTATTTGTTTTTTTTTGGAAAAGATCCTTTATTTAAAATAATGTGAAAAATCATATATTGCCGTGGCACATAATAAAAAATGATGTATGTTTTGGCTTTTTGTTGTTTTAAGCAGGTCTTTTTATGTTTTTAATTGACGTCGCACATGATAATTTTTGAATTTCTGTTTTTTCTAAGTTTCTTATTTGTTTAACCTTGTGTTTTTTTTTTTGAAAATGCTTTTTTCTATGGTTTTTGGTTTTTCAAAGTTAGGCACGTCACAAACTGAAAGGGATTATATTCTCGTGTAAACACATACATATTGTACATGATAACATAGTTGAATAGAGTCTAGTCCACGTGTGTTACCAATGTTAGAACCCTACGAATATTAGGTGGACTATTTCCTAACGTTCCGTTATTACGCAAGTACACTAACTTGTCGCGTATGCGGAGTCGCACCAATGCCATATGCGGGTCCTCATCCCCAACCATTAAACCATCCTCGTCATGTTCAACTTCTGGTATGGCATTTACTATTGTCATAGCCTCTTCCTCGTCGCATATTGGGTGAACAGGTGTTGGATTACTTGTATTTCGCCGTATATAATTATGTAATGCCATTGACGCACCTACTAACTGAACTTTCACATTTGCAAAGTCATACCGAGGCATGTCTCTAATAAACCCCCATCGATTTTTCCAGGGACCGAAAGTGCATTCCACCACACTACGTAATGACGAGTGCACGTTGTTAAATAATTCCCTTGGGGTATTTGCCGTCATATTCTGTTGACTACTTCGGAATTGTTGTTGGTGGTAACGGCTGCCTCTGAAAGGTGCTAGGTAACCTACCCGGTTTGGATAGCCAGAATCGACAAAATAATATTTGCCTGCATTCGCAACAAGTATTTATGACACGAAAATCGACATTGTGATTCATTTTCAAATAACGATGTTTGCCAAAAAATTATAACAGTGGTCGAATTTTCAATGCAATGTGTTACCTTCTTCAGGATGTGAAAATGGGACATTGTCATTTGTTAGTATCTCGTTGAAGATGCAACTATCGTGCATACTTCCTTTCCATCCGCACGAAATGAAGATGAAACACATGTCAAAATCGCATGCGGCCATGATATTTTGTGTGTGACAGCATTTCCTACCGAAATATGTTGCCGCATCTGGCCCCGTAACCCATGCACTTACATGTGTTCCGTCTATGGCTCCAATCTAGTCCTGCTAACAACCCAATTGTATTGTTACTCCTACGGGTACATGTAATGGTTGTTTTCATACGTCACGTCCACTTAAAATTAAAACAACATAACTGGACTTGGCACAAATAACTGTTGAAGGTTTAGTCAATAGTATCTTGAACGGTAGGTATTTCCGTTTAGACCGCATGTATGGATGTATACACTGCTGACTATATGTGGGCCGCCAATGAACAACAGTGAACTCTTTCATGGAAGTTAATAAGTTATGCACGTGCCGAGACAGTCTGTCCCGAATGTTGGAACCGTTCTTAGATTTCCCGATTTTACTTTCCTTTCAACACATGGATAAACATTGCAACACTTTCTTCAACAGCTAAGCCATGTGAACGTTGCGGTACTTGTAACCCAAAATCATTTACTAATGTTTCATACAACGCGGCAAAAACTTCCTTTGGCATGTACACATTTTCCTCAAATCGATCCATATGGCCCGCATACAATTCGGATATCTATGCATGCTTGGTCAATATTGCAGTGCGACATGGCGTTTTAACCATGTGTTTTTCATACCACTCAATGACATACTGGCATGCTTATAGAAATGTCCAGTTGTGTTCTTGTTACAGCTATACGGCCATTTCATTAAGCATTTCCCTTAATACGTCATTGTTGCTTCTATCCCCGGGATTCATCACGTCTTCATTGTTACGAAACCTACAAGAGTGGCAACGTTTCAATTAATTTGCACATGATGCGTTGACTCAAACGTAATAACAGTTTCCAATTACAGAATGCCGATATGTACTCAATGTAAAAAAATGTTGTTACCAATGTCATTACTTCCGCATAATGGTATGAATTAAACAAATAGTGAACCTAGTCATTATTGTTTACAAGGGGACCGTTAACACAGCAATGGCATTACTAACACAACCACAAAAGATGACGTCAAACTAACATAACTGTTTCCCAAACAAAATTAATAAATTCAAAAGCATCACACGCAGGCCGTCGTTGCGCATTTCATGCCCATTACATTTAATGCAAACCCAACCATCCTATTCCATTCAAAAATAACACACAACCATTCTTCCATTTCGTCTACGACAAACATGCAAACCTTTTGTTCACCATAGCTAGTAAGCAAAAAAAAAAAACAAGAAAAAGTTTAAAACATGCACACACAACCATCATGTTTTAGTACAGTTCCAACAATAACATAACTAAAAGTTTTCCAAAGCAAGAGAAGGACAGGCATCTTCAGCATTACTAACACCGCTATATCACATCTGGCGAGCCACAAACAGGTTCGTAAACGACGCCAACGCAGTACACTGGAGTTGCTTTTGTGAAAGCCACCCTATAATGTGGTCATCATCAGGCTGGCACATCATGACAACCCGGTAATCTGCGTTATCCATAAGTGTTGAGGCGAAATGAAATAGCGGCGTACCAAGTAGGGATGGAATAGTCGTCAGTCAATGCATGCACTCCAAAATAATGTACAGCGATTCGTTACCTGTGAGGTGCCTCACCATAACCTGCTGATTCTTATTACGCACATCTGTTAGGTTGTTGATGCTTTCCGCAATAATTGACGTTCCACTTGTTGCTTTTTCGACTTCGAAACACTTGTTGACGGCGTCTTTCTTCTTTTTCCCTTTTCAATCGGAACAGGTTCAAGTGAATAATCTGAGTCCACATCCTGTACTCCTGCGGGTATCGGATCAGCAAATGGCTGCGCTCCCAAACTGTGCACAGAGTCAGATAAGTCATCGGCATCTTCAGGAACTTTCTCTCCCGGTGTCCAATGGTGCTTACCAGTAGCTGATGCCTCGATGAAAACCGTCTCCATCAAGTCACGATGTTCCAAAGTTTTTTTCCTGAACTTGGCACACACCTTGTTTACCTGCACAGTTGGAGATTTATGAAAGAGGAACACGTTACATTTCATATAACAAGTGATACAGTTAACTAAAAAGGTTAAAGGTACTGGTAATAGACAAATATGAAACGCAAGAAACATGTACTTACCGATTCCATCTTGTCCCACCACTTCTCAGGTGCCTGAAACATACTAGTGTCATTGTCAAACCTTATCCCCGACACTCCTTTGCTTGAATCCATCAACTTTGTCCACGCTTGCCACTCTTTTTTCAAACTCATGTATTTATTCTTCAACTGTTTGAGGCCATGTTTTCTTTCTTTTTTTTCTCAAATTTCCTTGCCAACGACTTGTACTCTACTTGGCTAAGGACTAGGAATGGTTGATTTCCTTTTGTAATCTCATTTGCAATCAACTACAGGAAAATTCGGACTGAGTCACTGTCCCTTGAGGCCTTGTGGCTGAACAGAGTCGGTGTCTCTTCAAGACTGCTTGACTTCTCTGTCACAATGCCTTTGGTTTTGGATTAGGTACGCAGAGAAGTACGTATGGAAGCCATTACCAACAACGACGCAACTAACTAATATACAGTTACAAAATATCACCATCACATATTTTTTTGTTTGATTCAAATGTATATGCTAATAGCAAAGTAATATAAATTGATTGCACGATGCACAATCTATGCCCATGAACAATAAACAGACAAATAGGTGGTAAATTTGACAGCATATAACTAGTGCACAATAATAAAATACATAAATAAACATGCAACTGAGCGGTGGACACAGTTGTCATAGTGATTAATACGTTTACCCTTTCGTAGTGGAGGAACTAACATACAAACTTGTAGCCATACTATAACATACAAACAACATACTAACATTCGAAAGACGTTCCAAACATACTAACAACATCCTAATGTTCCTTACATACGCAACAATAAAATCACAACGACAATGCATAGCACAGACACAATGGTCTTAAGGAGACGCAAGGATTGTTGAATGTGTATGACATCATCTCGCAATTGCATGACAATGTCGTTTGTGGATGACGCATAGTCCATGCTATCTTGCCTTCGTTCTGCGCACCAACCAATCCAACTGACACAGGGCTGATGAGTGCAAATGATGAAACTATTAGTCAATGGGTTCTTAATGTTCATACAGTTATGATGGGTAATGAATTGGGCACTCACCACAGGGCGGGGACATGCAAAGTAGGGACGTCCTGGATTTTTGGTGGACCTTGAAATCTTAACAATACATGGGCCATGTCCACAGGCACACATTCGACGTGGTCATGTACTGGAAGTTGCACTAGAGGTAAACGAAGCCATGTTATGTTTGACAAAAATTCGAAAGTAACAATGAATTATAGGAGTAATTAGTTTATGATATCCATATTTGAGGATAAACATGAACTAAATACGTTGATGCACAAATGTCATATGGGTTGGCTATACGAACAAATTATTTTGTTCATTTTATATTAAAGAAAAGCAGCCTAGCAATTACTCTTTCATTGTCAACGTGTTGTTAAAATGAAATTTTTGAACTAAATTTATGACAAATCCCCTCATTATATATATAAACTGGATAGTTTCCTTCCTTACATTCTCACATTCAATTAAAATTATGACAAATCTCACGGCGTACCAAAGTTTTTTCACATTTCATTGATAAATATGTCAATGAAAACAGAAATCAATTACTTTTTGGCATATGCACTGTCATGGTCCAATTGCAGGTTTACATTCATGAACACAAAAAGCAGATATATGAATAACCACAAAAAAATGAAGTTGAATAACCAAAAAAAAAAAAAATCAAGTTAACGGTTTATAATAACAGTGTTTGAAGAAGTGAAGTTGAATAACCACAACCCAAAAATCTGAGATATATGAATGAAGATAGATATGAGGACAGTTTTTTGGAAGAGACATTGAGACATTCACAGATTTATTAATACAACAGCAGAGGGTTTTATTCAGATTTCAGAATATTATCAATGCATACATTTACATTTCTTTCTTCATTCAGCATTCAAGTTACTCATGTTACAAAACTGAAATTTGTAACAGAATCAGATTTGATTCACAGATTTCATTCGTAGAATTCATTCAAATTTCATATTTCATTCACAGACTCAGATTTCAGCAATGACATTGACAAATCAATAGGTATTACACATTTTCATTCAGCATTGTCATTTTTTTCTTTTTTAATGACAATGATAAGAAATCAAGTTACCAATGTTACAAAAATCTATTTTGTAACAGAATCAGATTTCATTCACAGATTTAATTCTGGTTTCAGATTTCATTTACATAATCAGATTTTATTCAACATTGACGAATCAATTTGAACTTCTAATATGGAAGTTTTCTTTTTTAATGAGAATTATAAGAAATCAAGTTACCAGTGGTTAACAGAATGAAAATTATAAGAAATGAATTTGAAAATCTGATATGAAATTTTTCACAGAATCAGATTTCATTCGCAGATTTACACAACTTTCCATAACAGACATGGAGACATTATTTTTTTTATGAAAAGAACACTAGTTCTGTTGTTTATAGAAATACATGGAGACATTTGTTTGTAAATTCAGAATGTTTCACATGGAGCCATTCGCAGAGTTATGAACACAGAAAGTTAGATTTCAGAGTTAAGCAAAAAAATTGATTACAAATTCCAGAATTGAGGGGGAAAAAATGAGAAAACATCACAAATGCAGATTTCATATTTGAGAAAAATATATAATTTCAGCATTCAAATTTCAGGTTAGGCACAACAGTGAGATTTATGAAGAAAATAATTTAGATTTCAAATTTTAGAACAAATCAGGATGTAGAAATTCCAGATTTCACAAAAAAATTGGCAGAAAAAAAAAAGAAAATCAGAATTCCAAAGAAATCATATTTCGTAGATTCAGACATCGTAATGTGAAGAACACCTCAAATAATCGTTTTCAAAAATGTGTTTTCCACCACTAATCGGTCGTGACGACCAGTTTCCATCACAGATTCAAAATCGGAGTGAGGTTTTGCAGTGAGTGCCACAGATATAATGGTAGCTTTCCCATTGTGCAAACCAAAATGAAAAAAATGTAACCCAAATGAGGAAAATTTTTGAAGCAGCAATAACAATGGGTTCCAAAGATCAACCGAGCAGAATGGGTTGAAGGATAGGTTATTACGCAAACAAACCCCCCCCAAAAAAAAAGAGAGGGGAAAGCAACCATTACCTTCAAATTCCAGATCTTTAAGAGACTGAGTTGTAGGGCCCCGCCGATATGAACTCCGGTGGCGCACCGATGTCAAAAGTATCGCTATTCTTCTTTCCCAAGCAGAGCCGTTTAGATCGCCTCGTTCGTTTTAGCTGTAAAATGGATGACCGAACTGGTGCGAATTTGTGGATTGGAGGGTGTGATAGTGTGAACACAGTGCTAGGGGTAATTTGGCACTTTCACCCCGCCTTGTAGGTAAGTTATGCCCCTGAACTCGTTTTTGTCAGTTTGTGGCTAATTTAGCCTATTTTGGACTATAGTGGCTAAATTAGCCCAAAACTCTCTTGCCAAACGGTTTGTGTCCTCATTTATGAGCTTTATTTTTTGCTCCATCATCAATGCAAATCTTACTGGTTACATTAGAACCGTGTTGAGATCTACTATTCACTTTGTTTGGTTTTATTTTTTTAAAAATACTCTTCTGAAAATTATACTTTCTTATTTTCTATGTTTTTTTGGTTTTATTGAATTTTTTTAATATTTTAAGCATTTTTTTTTAGTTTTTAGACATACCTAACATAAATATACCTAAAAAGTAAAAAAAATATTAAAAAAATCTTTTAAAAATTGATTAAATATCAAAAATATAAAAAAAAAAATACAAGAATTTAGTATATTTTTTTTTGTATTTTTATGTATTTATTAATTTTTTAAAATATTTTTTTCCATTTTTTTTTACTTTTTAGATACATCTAAGTAAGGTGCATCTAAAAAAGTAAAAAAATGTTTAAAATTTTAAAAATATTCACTAAAAATAAAAAAAAATACGAAAATAAAAAAACTCAGTTTTCAAAAAGCTTAATCCAAAAAACTCAAACCAAATATTATAATTTTTTCTCAATGTATATATATATAAGAAAATATCAAATAAATAAAAAATAAAATTATAGTACAAATAAGGGTGGACATACACCATGTCAGTATGGCTTCGGGCTGGGTCTAGGCGGGAAGTACTAAGTATATTATACGTATATACCAGCACTAATTTATGTATGCGTAATATGTATAATATCTATATTAATAATAAGGTCACATTGAGCCACAAAGAACATTGTCAAGTTTGTTAGACCATTTTAATATCTTTTATTTATTTATTTATATATTTTTGTTTATGAATCTTCTTTTGTCTTGTTCATGAATCTCATTTTGTTTGGTGAATAGATATTCATTGTTTTGATAACCTTTTGTCTTGCGTATGTTCTGTGGGGATGTATTTTCTAAATACCAACACGTGGCAAGGTGCCGACGTGTCAGTCGAAGTGCCACGTGTCCTGGTAGTGACGCCGAGGTTATCTCGGCGAAGCCGAGGTTATCTCCGAAGATATCGAAATCTGAGATAAGCGGATAAGGAACAAGAGTCCTAGAATGAAGAGAAGACTTCAGTTTGGGTAAAGATAAGACTCTTAGAGAGTTTATCCTAATTCCACTGGGAGTCCCAGATTAACAGTAATCCTAAGTCCATTAGGTCCAGGCTCCTATTGGGACTAGGATTGTATTGCCTATAAAAGAGAGGCACCCCCATGGGTCTAAGGTATGCTTTTTAGGCTCAAGCTTGTGAGTTGAATAATTGATTATCTTTGAGAGATATACTGACTTGATCGTCGGAGTGCCCCCGGGTGGACGAACTACCGCGGGATTCTTATATTTCTGTTGCAGGTCAGTCAGGTGTCATCTATTCTGCCAGTGCTCTCCAGCTGAATTACTGAGTTAGCAATGTGGTTGGAAAATCACCCACACAATTTGGCGCCGTCTGTGGAAAAGAAAGAAGAATAGATGGCCAATGACGGACAGAAGGATCAGACTGGAGACAACGCTCCTGCTGGGAGTGAGAGACCTATCAACCTTGACGTTGAAGGGGACGACCGCAACACAGAAACTCATGACCAGAGTCACGGAGTGAAAGACGCCGACCAGAAAGGTGACGCACCAAAGATAACAGATCGAAGCGGATACTACAACGAAGATGACCTCCAGGTATGGAAGGATA